ATGGTCGGAGTCCACGCTGGTGTTCCAGGAGCGGCAGGTGGTGATTGACCCTCGCCACCGATAACTGACGCCGATGTGGTCTATTTGGATTTGGCGCTGGGCACATGGAGAATAGCATGCATCTTACACAAGAAGATGCGAAGATACAAAACTGCCCGTCATGGCCTGTCCTCTGGCAACCTCCACCAACAAGAGTTGGAAGTGGAAAACACAACTTTCTTTGGTCAATGTAGTACACGCCCCAACTACCTTAACTTACCTACTGCTCGAGCGAATCCGATTTATTGCCTAGCACTCGCTTACGGGCTTTTCCACTAAGTACATGCTGCAGCCAATGTGTCTTGCTAAGGACACATCAGTGACCAAATGTTTGGAGATGCTGGAAGTCTTCAGACCAGAGAGGACAAGTTTCAACGCAATACAGTAGGATTTGTCTAACGGTGGTTTATGGCCGTTTAGCCACATATGTATTTTTTATGATGTCAAGAAGGATACAAGTTGGCAAATTGTGCTCGTGCCTTGATGAAGCGTGCATTCGGGGCATATGCGGCTGCCAAGATAGTCAGAGCTATTACCAAGCTTAAATGAAACAATGTCATCCGCATAAACTATGTCCACAAGTTTTTCTCCAGATGTGAATTTGACAGCCAGATTTGTGATGTCTTGGTGTCAGTGACAAACCTGGATGAAAATAAAGAGACGAGGCATCCTGGCGAAACCCAGTAGTTGTGTGAAAGTTTTGGCAAGTCGAAGGATCCCTTGGTCTAGTCGACAGCCACCACGGTTGACCGGTGGTATGCATGACATTGCTTTAGCGTTTGACGCACTCTGGCCCGTCGAAATCCTGCCTGATGCTCTCGGAATTGTATCCCGCGTGATAACGACAGAAGCATCAGTACTGCTGAAGCCAGTAGCCGTGTTACGACCGAAGCAAGGCTCATATCCCCCTAGCTGAAGCAGTCGTTCCGGGTAGCTTTTTGAGTAAAGGTACAACCACCGACCGGTCTCAGTTTATGGGGAGCGTTATCATCCCCATATTAGTATAAACAACCTGATTAAAGCAAAATAGAACCCCACAGACCAAGATCTGTGTATAAAGCCGATGACCGCTGATTGGCTTTGCGGGCGGAGAGCGTTTCAAGGGAAAACCGTATGTTAGTGAAATATACTCATTTGCAAAAGAAATGGTTTGCGAGAGACTCACCTGGGACCCAACTGAATCTCTCATTTACGATGTGTCTAGGCAACTAAATGTGCTGCATTAGATCACCTGTTTCGATTGGTACGATATTCGAGATATCACGACACATCTATAGACGTGATACACTACTCATTAGGTTGCTGAATTTTTCCCGGCAGCCCACGACCTGTTTCCCCTTTCTTGGGGCTCAGCAGGTAGATGAATACCTCGAGTTTCCAACAGCCTTATGTTCTACTTGAAACCAAATTGCTTAAAAAACATCAAAAATGGGAGATTCGCTGGGTTCCAGGTGAGTCTCTGGCAAAACCAAATTTGTTTGCAAATGAGTGTTTCGCTAACTCCGTGCAATTTGGTCACAAGTAGAACATAATGTTGACGGAAACTCGGGGACTGTGCCAATCTGACGAGCCCCAAGAAGGGCGAAACCAGTCGTGGGCTGTCCAGGAGTTTTCAGCAAACTTGTGAGTAATTTCCTTTATGAAAATATACTGCGATATCTTGATCACGGAGGGCTTTCCTAACTTAGCAGCTTGGCAGTTAAATGCTGAGTAAGGTAGAAAAGTGCGCGGCGGTTAAGCACCAAATGGACAGTGCATGAAATAAGCAAACCGTTCGAATTAATCAAGACGAATTTAGAAGCAAACTTAGATCCACTGAAAGGACGAAAACCCAGTGAATGGGAAATACAAAATATGCGGAGTGGGGGCTAGGAAGCGCAAGCAATTTATGCTTTCAAACTATACAGCCATACGTACTGATGATACCACATCTACTAGTGAGGACACGTTTGCAATCAAGTTGCCCAGCTCAGCGAGCGAACGAAAGACCAACCTCTTGAATCATCTGAATTTTTTTCGTTCTTTCAACGCAGAAAGTGCAGTCATGCAAAACTGACGAAAATTAATGCGGATATGATGATAAATAGGCGGCGAGTAATGAACGGATGGAGTGTGATTGTTCTGGGTATCGTAAAAATATAACTGACATCAGCAGGACCATAAACAACGAGAACAATCAAACAATAGGATCCCGTAATAGAGATCGAGAAGCATCCAATTGGACCATTTGGAACCAAAAGAAATCATGTGGTTTGGTTCACATGGCACAAGGTCTGCCTCGCACCATTCAAAAAACAGTCATTTGTAATGAAAAATTTAACAACGATGGATCTCTCAAACGGGATATTCAAACGAGTTTCCAATAAACCTCTCGTTTTCCCAGGCCGTAAAACGAATGCCACTACAGGACACAATACAGCTGCATATGTTTGAGTCAGGCAGGAAAATACTTACCAAATTGAACCCTTCCAAATCACTCAAGATGCAGTCTGATTTGCAAGCGGCAACACCCTGACTCTAACGGACTGTCATTCAATAAACTGTACCATATGGGGTCATAAAGTACCCGATTGCGTCGATTCTGCAAAACCACTTCAAGCATTAATAATCTCTCTTTTACGAGAGATTTACCCGGTTTCCAGGTGGCTCGCTCGTAAAACCAAATTTGTTTGCAAATGAGTGTTTCGCTAACTCCGTGCAATTTGGTCACAAGTAGAACATAATGTTGACGGAAACTCGGGGACTGTGCCAATCTGACGAGCCCCAAGAAGGGCGAAACCAGTCGTGGGCTGTCCAGGAGTTTTCAGCAAACTTGTGAGTAATTTCCTTTATGAAAATATACTGCGATATCTTGATCACGGAGGGCTTTCCTAACTTAGCAGCTTGGCAGTTAAATGCTGAGTAAGGTAGAAAAGTGCGCGGCGGTTAAGCACCAAATGGACAGTGCATGAAATAAGCAAACCGTTCGAATTAATCAAGACGAATTTAGAAGTAAACTTAGATCCACTGAAAGGACGAAAACCCAGTGAATGGGAACTACAAAATATGCGGAGTGGGGGCTAGGAAGCGCAAGCAATTTATGCTTTCAAACTATACAGCCATACGTACTGATGATACCACATCTACTAGTGAGGACACGTTTGCAATCAAGTTGCCCAGCTCAGCGAGCGAACGAAAGACCAACCTCTTGAATCATCTGAATTTTTTTCGTTCTTTCAACGCAGAAAGTGCAGTCATGCAAAACTGACGAAAATTAATGCGGATATGATGATAAATAGGCGGCGAGTAATGAACGGATGGAGTGTGATTGTTCTGGGTATCGTAAAAATGACATCAGCAGGACCATAAACAACGAGAACAATCAAACAGATCAATAGGATCCGAATCAATCAAGGATAATGTTTGGGAGCACCTTTTCTAGAAACGGAGATAAGTGGTTAGTGCAACTAGATTAACCAAGTGGTTGCTGATGAACACTGTGAAGCAGTTTGATTGCACTCTTCAAAGTAATCCACTTCAATCATCATTTGTGGGAATCTATTGGTCATACAGGCTACATTCGGTTGCCACAAAATTGTTACCCACCGTTGAACTGAATCATCAGTGTTGATGTTAACGCTCGTTTGGTGTTTTGGTTGAGAGTTCATGGAGCACATGGTACAGTGATCCTCCGTATGAGAATACATCAAGAGAAGGAATAGTCTCCCTTCGAGAGGTTGAGTGCAAGGCTATTTAGGCCTCTCCAGGGATAGCTGGCTTTCCTGGAGGGTGTCTGTCATGCGAAGACAACTGGTATGCTTGTGGAGTCTGACGTCCGCAGCAACACCGCGACCCAACCTGCACAAACCCTATGCTGTCCGCCGCCAACATCCCAGGGATTAACATGCTAATCAACCAACAAGCCGTTAAGAGAACGCATCGAAGACAACGTGATGTGTGCATTCTAGCTGTATCCGTCAACTGGGATTCCTAACGTTGAAGTCCGACTCATGCAGCGACCAGTGATTCAGTTAAACAGACACAAGCGATGCAGTAGAAACTGAGTAAAAAACAAAAACCACTGACATTAGTGGTAAATCATTCCCTTGTAGACAGTACGGACATAAATAGTTTCTCAGAAAGCGCATATGGAAGTAAACAAGGTTTAAAAACATGCTTATTACGATAGTAAATGGAAAACCAGGTTGTTAGCGGCAGAACAGTTCAACCACGCTAAGAAATGCCATATGGTCTACCATGCGACGGAGGTCATTTACATGCATGTGAAAATGTCAACTGAGGTCACAGCACGGTTCATGGTTCCGGGAAAGCCACACGCGGTCATTCTACAAGCCTGTCCTGAGGACAATCAAAACGGCTTGTCACCGTATTAATCTTGTTGTGCACCGTGCTTAGTCACCACATACTTGCTGAGGTATCGCTCTATGAGTCGTTACTAGTGAAACTTTTATGTCAAGTTTGGTGTTTTCACTTTTTCAAGTACCCGAATTACGTGGTGGCTTATCTCGCAACTTGCCCAGCGGATATGAAGCATCAATGGGCCTTGCATCGTTTACACACTCGACACAGGGTACGTAACATGAAAAAAAAACTGCCGTCTACGCCGCGCTAAATACGACTGAAACAGGACAGAAGCGGAAAATGAGGATTCGGATAGCAAATTCAAGTATCAGATATTGGCTGAGAGCTTCACTTGTTGTCAAACTGACCGACTAGTGAAAATCGCTCCGGATAAAGCGAGATATTACGCGTACGCATGTATTTCGGAAGAAGTTAAAGGGAATTTATCAGACCGTTATAAACACCAATCGGCGAAATAGTATGTACGCATGACGCTTCTCAGGTAGGTGAATGAGTGAACATCTCGCAAAATGTGTCACTCAAGAATAGCAGATAAGTGTTGAACTCACTTGCTTCAACATCTCGAATCGACCTTTGCATAAATAAGGTTTCCTTGACCGGGTTGAGTGAAGGGTCCGCTTCAGTGTCTGTGGATGATAACCGGCGGAGGAATAAGTACCGAATGTCCAGTCGAAACATAAAAAGCCGCGTATAAAATATAGCAGTGCTACAAGGATGAGGATCCAACAACGCTTTTAATGAGCCCATTATTGTGTGCTTCTAGAATCAACAGTGTTTGAAGCTGATTTCCTCAAAACGAACTGCAACTCAACCCAAAAATAATAGCCCCTCATTGAGTGACTACTGCAAAACTCGAAACATCAATCAAACTACCACCCCAGCGAGAAATCCACAAGAACTTGATGAATGACTGCCTAGACAGCCATAAGCCAATCAACTTTGACTTCAAAGAGTCCTAATAAACGCTTGAACCAGTTTGGGCGCTGCGAAGTCTATTCAATCGAAGCTATGCGAGGTCAACCACGTACGAAGACGGTGTCGCATTGACAAGAGCAATGAAGTGTGAATAACCCCTGATAAATCAGTGGCAAGAGAGTGAATAAATGACCCATCTCTGAATACGTAACCTTCTATTGGCTCTCTGATGTTCTTCTCTTAACTACATTACTTTGCTATTGATCAGAATGTTGATAGCACAGGTTGTGTAAATGGTCCGTTAATTTGTTGAGTTAGGTAATATCGTTGCAAACGTTTCATCAGTTGATGTGATATCATCAGTTCGCTATGGGGGAGTGGGGTGGAGTATACCAGTGCATCAGTAATTGTGTTGAGCACCGGCTAGCAGCACATACTTTAACACACAAACACCACTACTCAACGCACAGCCACTATACTACACTCGGCTTCCTAGCAGCGCACTAATGATGCCACCTCGATTGATGATGAAACGTTTGCAATCACATTGTCCAGGTCAGCAAACAAACCAACGACCAACCACACCGTTCGTAAACATATCCATGGACATATATCAGCATTTTGCAAACGCCACAACTAGAAGAAGATCAAAATAAGGAGCTCACCATCGGGTTCTCTTTCTGATATATGCTGCAAGTTATTTGTGCTCGATGGAGCATACATTGAAGAAAGTATCGCCTCGGATGGATCTGTAGGCAAACCATACTTTCCTTGGGATGTCTGAGACCGATACCGACCGGTCCTGCCGTCACCAGGAGCTCCCATAGAACCCAATACAGAACTGTCTGCATGACCCACATGGATATCGTTAAACTGTTGACGGGGATGTCGAACCTCACCGTTCACTACCTGTGGGCCAGCTGACAAGTGAGTATAACCCACATGAGCATCCTTGGGGTAGTTTGGAAAGTAACCGGCCACACCACTGCCATGTTTCGTCCCGTAGTTCCCATGATTAGTCGCTGAACCATAATTTGACGGGTCGTCATCACGGAGCGCTTTCTGTTTTCTTCTACAGCACGGGGAGCATAGATTACCCATCCAGCAAGTGAGCTACTGCGTCGTTGGGGATGGTTTATACGCTAATCCATAATACTAATAGTGGTTCACACACAGATTGTCATGTGGGATGAAAACAGTACAGCAATGACTAGCCAACTGAGAGCTAGAAAAGAAAAATATCTGAATTAGAAACGCACATTCATGATACATGCAGAATATAGTCCACTACATACTGACAAGGGACCGTAGTGGATTGACATTTCCGTAGCGATCGCTCTCCCAATACAACAGAGGTAAAAAGGTGAGGTAAGAGTTCGCTTAATTGGGAAGCAACAGACATGAGATCCTCACTGTGCAAAGCTACCATGCAGCGGAAAGAGAGCTCCAGAGAAAGTAATACTACCAGATTTCCGGCAAATAGGCATGAATAACCGAAAGGTCAAGTGTTTGAATTATGAAGTATCTGCTTCATAAAAGTCAGGCTGGATGGGACGTCAAGAATATACTTGTCGTCAGGAGTAACCGAACATTACATGTTTGTCTATTCGTCGAGAAGAGCATTGTTTTCTACTGCGAATTTGGTGATCTCGAAGGGAGTAAGTATGACAGGGGAAGGTATGAAAAGGATCATGGAAGTCAAGTAGTGTGGACAATGCATACCTTGCAAAATGACGTGTACGTAGATCCGTGTGATTTATTGGGGACGCTACAAGGCGATGATGTGAAGGGCGTACACACCGTTATTTTGTACATACAGTTTCGCCCTACAGTGGTGCAATGGTCCTCAAGTCTCCATGACCCACTCAGATGCACCCGTCGCAAATAAACCGGACGTGTCAGCTCTGTTCACCTTGCATTAACTGCACCAGGAACTGCTGCATGTCAGCCTGCGTCGGCGTCAAAATCAATTTTCAGACTCCCCAAACCCGATACACTTACCTGTTATTAATGTTGGCGCTCTGAGCTAGGCGGGACAACTCCCATGATTAGTCGCTGAACCATAATTTGACGGGTCGTCATCACGGAGCGCTTTCTGTTTTCTTCTACAGCACGGGGAGCATAGATTACCCATCCAGCAAGTGAGCTACTGCGTCGTTGGGGATGGTTTATACGCTAATCCATAATACTAATAGTGGTTCACACACAGATTGTCATGTGGGATGAAAACAGTACAGCAATGACTAGCCAACTGAGAGCTAGAAAAGAAAAATATCTGAATTAGAAGCGCACATTCATGATACATGCAGAATATAGTCCACTACATACTGACAAGGGACCGTAGTGGATTGACATTTCCGTAGCGATCGCTCTCCCAATACAACAGAGGTAAAAAGGTGAGGTAAGAGTTCGCTTAATTGGGAAGCAACAGACATGAGATCCTCACTGTGCAAAGCTACCATGCAGCGGAAAGAGAGCTCCAGAGAAAGTAATACTACCAGATTTCCGGCAAATAGGCATGAATAACCGAAAGGTCAAGTGTTTGAATTATGAAGTATCTGCTTCATAAAAGTCAGGCTGGATGGGACGTCAAGAATATACTTGTCGTCAGGAGTAACCGAACATTACATGTTTGTCTATTCGTCGAGAAGAGCATTGTTTTCTACTGCGAATTTGGTGATCTCGAAGGGAGTAAGTATGACAGGGGAAGGTATGAAAAGGATCATGGAAGTCAAGTAGTGTGGACAATGCATACCTTGCAAAATGACGTGTACGTAGATCCGTGTGATTTATTGGGGACGCTACAAGGCGATGATGTGAAGGGCGTACACACCGTTATTTTGTACATACAGTTTCGCCCTACAGTGGTGCAATGGTCCTCAAGTCTCCATGACCCACTCAGATGCACCCGTCGCAAATAAACCGGACGTGTCAGCTCTGTTCACCTTGCATTAACTGCACCAGGAACTGCTGCATGTCAGCCTGCGTCGGCGTCAAAATCAATTTTCAGACTCCCCAAACCCGATACACTTACCTGTTATTAATGTTGGCGCTCTGAGCTAGGCGGGACAACAAGCTGCTCTTGATCGTATCTCAAATATCCTGCGCATTGACCTATGTTGTCTGTCACAAACAAGAATCCAGGAAGCAAGCATGGTAACCAAATCGGCTGAATCGTCACTCTCTTCCCGCTTTCGGCTGTGCACCACGGCCATCACGGCTGGATATACGGGGTTAAATCGTGTTGACTTATCGAGAAAAACCATTTCTACTTGGCTAGGTATCCGTTGACAGTTTGTGTGGTTCGTTTTGTAAGGCCTTTCAAAACGCGATCGCTCCCCTGTGATAACTAGGCTTGAAACTGTTTAAAACTCAAGAAGAAACCCCGGAACTCGAACCAGCAACCGAGAAAAATAGAGCCCCCGCGACAAACATGAAAACAGTCATTCTAGGAGGGAGATAGTGCAAAGTATCTTCGATGTCGAAAGATACTAGTTTTCTTAAAACGCTTTTTGCAAGGGAACCAAAGTGAACGAGCTGCGATATTATACAAAGAGATGCCACTCTAAGCACGGTGAGAGACGAATAATGGACATTACAGTCAGGACAACTAGAATTCCGAACAGCATAGAACACGACGGCGAGTGATCAAGATATACAGAAAAGTAAGATGGGCCGGTAACAGATGACATCTTAACAAGATTAGTGATCAGGATACCGGTGGTCTATATCTGCCGTAAGAGTTCAATGGGGAAGCAGACCACCCGAATGAATAACGGATGAGACAACGAAGAATGGTCACGTCAGTAAATGCGCGGACGTTGAAAACAACCAACAGATCGTTGACGTTGGACAGAAATGATGTCAGGGACGGAACGGATCAAATGGTTGGGGGATATTCACTCCGGTGTAAATGTGACGTACAATTTACGGAAAAGCTGTTGATCCGGTATGGGCAGAGGTCTTAACTCGGAAGCTTGTCGAGAGTAACATGCTGAAACACTAGCGCGGACTCACCAGAGGACAACGGGTCATACATGAGATCGATATACTGGTACATTACCTGTGCAACAGTTGCATCCGAAATGGTGTTCATAATCTTTCAGGACGGTGTGTGATACAAAACTAACCCTAAATTTTCGATTGCTCTTGTCTGGGCCTCGGCAACCTTGCAAATATCCTACTCTTCGTGAATTAGCGGAGTTGCATGGCAGATGTGCCCCGAACGATAGATACTGTCAAGAGCGTATTGTCTTTGAGATCTCGCGGAATCCATTTTATAAAGATTGACAAGTTTAAGATAAGGTGGCGATAACGGAGACGGTCTGACGCTCGTTTGGGTTAGTCCGCAACTGCGTTTCAGGATGGGCAGTAACTAGGACATTCTCTGGCTGGCTGGAAGGATACCTGTGCTGAGATAACGAAACCAATCGGAAAAAATAGAGCGAGCTTTGGTGCCCAATTTCGAAAATCGGACAGATGCCACCCGGACCAATGATCTTCGGAATGTCAGGAGTGGTTGACGATTGTATCTCGTGATGTCTGACGGGAGAACAAGGTGTTCGGAGACCATGGGGTGAAAAGGAACAGCCCGAAAGGCAACAAAATGCTAATAAAGTGCTTCCTCAGGACACTTTGTGCGTGTGGGATGTACCTAAACTAGGACGTTGGAGATCATCATTATCGTTGACAGCAATACACCAGTAATACTTATTGGCGCCTGACTGCTACACGTCGGAGATGGGCAGAAAAGTTTATCAGTTATCCAAAATAAACGAGTTCCGTGGGGCTGAGGCTTGATAATTCATTGGCCTTATAGTCCATATCTTTCCCTGTAGGCAGCAGCCTTGAAGAAGTCTCAAAAAGCACGTATTGAAGCGGTTGGAACAGAAGTCCTAGGAAGCTAACATAAATGGTCCTTCTGCTTAACGGGAAGGGGACAAGCATTGTTAAACCATTGGAGGAAAGGTCTGTAGGCTGCAGAAGAGCGGGGAAGAAATTGGAGCATGCTGTAAAGCAATAGATCAACCAAATTACGCAAAATTTGGAAAAGATTCTCCGGGTATTCAGTGGTTTCATAGACGTGCGTCGGAAAGTTTACGCATAAATTTAGGGTTGGCGGAAGACAGAGGACGAGCAATGTGGTGATGAACTAATGGTAGTAAATGTACAGATGTCAAAATTAGGAAAAATAAGATAGCCTTTAATATGTCAGTCGATCGATTGTTGAGCTGCAGCACCCTTTCGGTGCCTAGCTGCCATACCACCCAAAAGCACTAGGGCTGGGATATTAACAGGTTGCCAAGCCTAGGCAGGGGGAAGTCAAGAGTCGGAGGTCAGTTTCGAAACACGGACCTTCCGTCAGTAAATTCGCGCTCTAACCACGGAGATATCTCGCCCCCTTTCGGTGCCTAGCTGATATACCACCCGAAGCACAAGAGCTGAGATGATATCAGGTTACTCAAATCTAAGCAAGAAGTCAAGATGCCCGGATTCACGCCACAAAACTTCCGGTCAGTTTTTTCGCCCCTTAATCGCTGATCTACCTCGAACTCAGGAATAGTTTCATGGTTTTTCCGCGTGAACCAACCAAGTGCGGTAGAGCAGCTGTTGACAGATTAGTCGACGCTGGGTGTATTAAGATTTTATGGGACGCGGCACCACTGGTTAACAAATTAAAGCCTTTGAGACTAACATCCAAATTAGACGCTTCGTTCACTAGCCCAATCAATATCAGGCCAATCACTGATGACGAGTTCCCCAGCATAACTCACTTGCCAGACGATTTCTCCGGAGACTGTCTTCGATGTCGGTAGCGTCAGTGACAGGAATGACTGCCGAATTCGTGACCTCCAGTGCAATACCTTGAAGGTCCCAGTAAGTACACCAGTTTTATCTCTCGTCCTTGGTGTTACGTGCACTGTCAGAGCAACCATGGGTTTGGCCTTGTCTTTCTTACGGAGAAGGGGAATCGCTTGTCCTCTCAGGTAGTACTGAAGTTCATCTGAGGTAGGTGTCTCATCGACGATGAAGTTAAAAAAGAATGGAGAGATTAGATATCCTTATCGGATACCACTTTATGTAGGAAAGCTTCCAGAGAACTCACCATATACTCTCACACGCACAGAAGTATGTGGATGTGAGGACCGGATTATACTGACAAACGTTCTGGCATACCCTGTTGAGCAACTATGGTTCACAACACTGACGGATCAACAGAATCG